GTTTATTTCTGGATTATTTATTCTATTCTGTTGGTATACCTGTTTTTGTGATATTATCACACTATCGCAATTACTGTAGCTTTGTATTATATTTTGAAGTTAGTAAGTGTGTGATGCCTTCAACTTTATTCTTCTTATTCAAAATTGTTTTGGTTACTCAGATCTTTTATGGTGTCATATGTATTACAGAATTTTTTTTCTATTTCTGTTTATAATGCCTTTGGGATTTTGATAGGAAACACATTGAACTTGTATATTGCTTTGGGTACCATGAACATCTTAATAATATTAATTTTTTTCCACCCATGAACATAGAATTTATGTGTTTCTGCTTAATTTTTCATCAGCATTTTATAGATTTTAGTGTATAAGTAAGTCTTTGAACTCATTGTTTACATTTACTTGTAAATATTTTATTCTTTCTGATGCTATTATAAAGGTAAATGGGATTGTTTTCTTATTTTCCTTTTGGATAGTTCACTGTAATGGTATAGAAACACAGTTGACTTTTGTTTGTCAATTTTTTTTATCTGCAACTTACCAAATGAGTTTATTAGGTCAAACAGCTTTTGTGTGTATGTGTCTTTATAGAGTTTTCTACATACAAGATCATGTCATCTGCAAACAGACATAATTTTACTTCTTTTCCAATTTGAATGCCTTTTATTTCCCTTTCTTGCCAAATTGTTGTGGTTATGACCTTCAATAATATATTTAATAGGAATGGTGAGAGTGGGCATCCTTGTCTTATTCCTGACATTAGAGGAAAAGCTTTCAGTCTTTCACCACTGAGTAAGTTAACTGTCAGGTTATCGTATATGGTCTTTATTATATTGAGGTACACTCCTTGTACACACTCTTTGTTTGGAGTTTTTATCATGAAAGGAAACTGAATTTCTCATTTTGTTCATTTGTTGTTTTCATGATTCTATTTGGTTTTATATCTCTCTTCTCATTTGGATTTCTTTAATATTGTTTTGAAATCTTTATCAGGCAGTTCATTCATCTCCACTTCTTCAGGATTGGTTACTGGAGCTTTATTTTGTTACTTTGGGGGTCTCATGTTTTCCTGGCTTATTGTGATCCTAGTAGCCTTACAATGTCTGTTGGCTGCACATGTGAAGAGGCACTCACCTCTAGTAGAATTTACAAACTGGAGTCAGCAGGGAAAGTCATTCACCAGTCAGCCTAGCCAGAGATTCTGGGAGAGCCAAATGATAGGGTCCACAGGTAGGATGGCTGGTGGGATCTGTCAGCAGGGACAGGCCAGCTGGCAGGGTCCACAGATGACCAGGCCCATTGCTGGGATCCATAGACAGGCAACTTTGATGCCAGGGTCTACACCCATAACTTTCTAATAGCTACAATAAAATTAGAACATACATGGGGAAAATGCTTGGGAAAAACAATATGATCAAAGCAATGAAAATTGAAAAGGCAATTGATAAAATTCAGCAACCATTTCTACCCATAAAAAAATGAAACCTGCTAGAAAAATAAAACTACCTGAATTTTATTAAATTACTCACCATAACAAACACCAAATATCATTTCAAATGGTGAACTGTTGAAGCCATTCCCATTAAAATCAGGAAAAAGCTGGGATTCTACCATCACTGTTACTACTTACTGTTTTATAAGTTCTAGAAAATGTAATAATACACTAAGATAAAATATCTGGTGTAAATATCAAGTAATAGATGTAATTCTCTTTCTGAAAATATAATGATATACTTAGAAAATTCTCCTCCCTAAAAAAAAAACAAAACAAAACACAGACTTGAATAGGTGATTGCGTAACAAATATACTCAAAATAAAAATTTGTGGCTTATATCTATACTGGTACTACCAGCTAACATAGACAGAAATGAGAGAATGTATACTATGCATAATTGTAACAACGTGAGAATGTATTTCAAATTTTTAAAAAAAGTTTATAACAGCACATGGTACAAAATATAAAAGATACAGCAGGGAACAAGGTAGGAGGACTTACGTTTCCCAGACACTGACTTCTCCTTCAAGGAGTGAAAATGCTATATAATCAAGTAAAAGTGATGTGTGTCTGTACATATCCTTCCACCAAACACACACAAATGATAGCATACTATAATGGATTACCCCTGATTTATTCATTAAAGAATATATTAATATAGCCATTTATTTAATCAGCTGTGTTGATGGACAAGTTTCCTCCAAACTTTTCTTATTACAAACACTTGTGTAATGAGTATTCTTGCACATGCATCAATTTTTACCAATATAACTATAGTATATTTTTCTGGAAATAGAATTTCAAGTTCAATGGTAAGGGGATTTATTTAACAGCTATACTAAGGTATAATTAACACAAAGTAAACCACACATAATTAAAGGGTACAAGTTTGACATATGTATACAATGTGATTCCATGACCAAAATGAAGATAATGAACATATCGTCACTCCCAAAAGTTTCTTCCTGATCTTTTGTGATTTGTCCCTCCCATCAACCATCCTTCTTCCCCTGTGTCCTTAGGCAAAGCCACCAACCTATTTTTAGTCACCACACATTAGTTTGCATTTCCTAGAATTTTACATAGTTTGAATCATATAATATGTGTGTTTTATTCTAGAAGTTTTTAGTTTTAAGTTTACATTTAGCTGTATGATCCATTTTAAGTTGTATTAGTATTTAGCATGCGATATGGGTCAACATTACTCTCTTTCATATGGATATCCAATTATTTCAGCACAATTTTTGAAAAGATTGGATATCTCCCACTGAACTGTCTTTGCAACTCTGCTGAAAATCAGTTGTCCATATATGTGTCAACTCTTTTCTGATTGCTAAACATCAGTAAGTATAGTAGTAACCTAGAAATGTACAGCATAATTCTTAAAAGTGCAAAATGATAGAAATGGCAGTGATCAGGCATGTTAGATAAGGAAAAGATTACTTTTGAGATAATTTTCTTTTCCCAAAGAAAGTGGGTGTTATGGACTGAATTGCATCCTGCCAAAATCCAAATATGGAGGCTCTGACCCATAATGTCATGGTATTTGGAGATAAAACATTCAGGGAGAAAAACAAGATGAAATGAGATCATAAGGATGGGGCCCTAATTCATTGGGAAGAGGAAGCATACACCAGGGAAGTGTCTCTCCGGGGTGCAATATAGAAAGGACACATGAGGATACAGCAAGAAGTTTGCCTCTGCAAGTCAGGAAGAGAATGCTCACCAGAAACATCTCTGATGGTACCTTGATGTTGGCCTTCTAGCCTTTAGAACTGTTAGAAAATTGATTCCTGTTGCTTAAAACACCCAGTATGTAGTATTTTGTTATGACAGCCAGAGTAGAAAAATACAGTGGGATTTGAGTCAAATCTGAAATTGGGAAACTTGAGTCCCCATTAAACATTCCTTAGATCCTCACTTCCACTGATTGGATCACTGCAATAAAGAGGAAAAAGGTCTGACACTAGCTTCTTTAATGATAATAGATTTGTTGTTTCATATACCTGACAACATTTAACTGATCCAGGTTAGCTCTTCAGGAATAAAAGGGGAGGTGGTTGTGTTGCTTTTTAGAGAAACTTGTAACCTGATTAATACAAATACTTTATTATTACTAGAGGAAATGTGCATAGCTTAATGAGAGCAAGTTAGTAGAATCACCTCTGTAGAGAGCCAAAATAATTTTTGAGATCGTAGCACTGAAAGGGGAAGATGGATTGATTTGGAAGAGATATATCAGGGACAATGAAAAGCTACCAGTCACTTTAAACATGGGCATCTAAGGTTTCTGAGCGATTATCCTGTAAAGGAATTGACAGGACACAAGAAATTTCAAGTTAGATTATTGTGAATAATATAAGAATAAACTGATGATGGGAAAAATTCACTTTTGTTGGGGTCTATCGGAAGGATTTTTTAAAAGGATATATGGAACTTGATCTATTCTTGTAAAGTACTGCTTGAGAAAGCATGTTCAGCAGGGACAGCATCATAGGCAGAGGAGAAAGAGCGTGGACTAAGAAAAGGTAGAAAGCAAATGCTGAGCCTAAGGAAACTGTAGTTGCTAGAAATATGAGGTATTAGAGAATAAGAGGCATGGTCAAGAGTAACCACTACAGCCTTTAAGAGCTATAAACGAACTATTAAGAATACATTTTCTGAAGCATTGTGGAATCATAACATCTTTCTCCAAAATAAGAAAACACATCTCCCATAATGTGCTACATTTACATTTAAAATGTTCTCCCCTATGTATTTATGTATGGAGTGTCTACTACCCACGAGCTAAAAGTCCCTACACTCCAGGAGCTCAGCTTTAATGAGACGAAGCGGATGGATAAGTAGACAATTTCAATATATCGTTTATTAATGGCAAAATAAAAAGCTACCTTTAAAATGTGACACTAGTCAAAGAGGAAGTCAGCCATTAACTAATCTGTGCTCAAATCATACATTAAACTAAAGGAATCCTAATCCAAATACAAGTCCAATTTACTGTAAACTGAATACAGAATCACCAGCTAAGAGCATGGGCTCTGAACCATCCTGTGTCTTGGACCGAGTACAGAAATGGGCCTGGGTTCAGTGTTCTTTCATCAGACTCTTGAAATTCTTAATAAATTGATCTGTGAACTTGAGTTTTGTGAGTGCAGTGGGACAATGGAAGATACACCTCAAGGGCTCAGTCTCAGGTCATGTGTGGTCCTGCCTCGCATGTCCTCCCATTTGGCTTCTCTGGATTCCTACACCCCTGCCTATGCCCAGCACCTGCTGGGTTCTTGCTCCAGCACATATCATCCTCCCTGAGTCCTGGGGAAGGGGTCGCAAGCACCAGTGAGGGTCTGCATGAGCCCCACCCCTATTCCTGTGATTGAGGGAGTACCAGATTTAGCACCAAATAAAAAACATATGACAGGCCAATAAACACCATGAAATGAACTTTTTCCTACGTTTTGAATGAGGGGTTCTGTCTGCATTTTCATTTCGTACTGGGGCCTGCAGATTACAGCCAGCCCTGGAGTCCTGAAGCAGCGGTTGGCTCCGCCTGGGCAACTCTGGGCAAGAAATTTAGCTCCTTGTTAAGTCAGATTCCACGTCTGTAAAATAAGAATAGTAGTTTCTATCTCATTTGATTTCTTTTTGGGGGATAATGCAAGCAAAGCATTTGTCCCAGCACTTGATTCATGTTATCACTTAGTAGTATAGCTGTTAAGTATTAATTAATATATTATCTAAATCAGGCTCACTCTCTCACGTCTCCTCTGCCTGCAAGCTAACACTTCAAAATATCTAGTCCCACAGGAGTCAGTAAATGTGCACTCTGGTTTTGCTTTAAACGTTTATTATCAAATTAAACTTTATTACAGTGTGCAGGAAAATATGTTCATGCCCGCGTTATAATGTTAAGTTGAAACAAAAAAGTTGTTGGAACCGTATAAATCTTCACTTACGCTAAATATTTGGAACAAAAACTGGCAATACAAGTCATGCTTTCACAGAACCTACCTCCACTAGGACATAAAAACCAAGGTCTTTACAACGCGAGCCCAGTTTACAGTGCATATATTTAAACTAGAAAATTCAGCATGCCCAAAAACTCCTATACACAGCTACGAACAGCTCCGAGAGCCTCCAGCGGACCACCCGCCCGCGCCTGATCTCCATAGGAACGCGCAATTCCGGCGCGTAGCATTCTGCTCCGGAAGTTGTTGTCCCACACTTCCGTACTTCCCTCCAGAGTCTTTGTTTCTGTTATATGTGCATTGGTTACCTCTTCCGTCTGATGAGTTTTGGGCTGAAGAGGCCGCCGTTGAGGGGGCGTTGCGACGCAGATGCCGTACAGGAGACACAGTTCACGTGCCGGCGGCGGCGGGTCCTCTTCCTGCGTCTGCCATGGCCGAATCCGGGACTCTGAACCTCAATAACGAGGTGAGCAAGGAGGTCTGGGATCCTGTGGGGGTGACATGTAGGGCCCTCAGAAGAGAACATCTGCATCTGAAGGGTTCGTGGTCTGGCCGGGGGTGAGGATAGGGGAGGGCGGCGGAAGGAGCTTGTTGGTGGGCCCAGGCTGGTTTTCCAGGACACGCAGCATGGCAGCGGTAACACCCCTTTTCGATTTCTGGGTGACAAGCAAGAGACATGGCTCTGGACGTCAGGCCTCGGGAATTTGTATCTGTGGGGCTCTGGGAAGGTTATTTTATATCTGTAATCAGCGTCCTCGTCTGTAAAACGAAACTCGTGATAGTATAGTACCTATTTCACAAGGTTGTGAGAATTAACTGGAATATGTGAAATGTTTGCACAGTGTCCAACAATTAATAAAGTCTCCATGTTACCTGCCTTACGTAGCTTCTATGAAACTTCTGATTTTGAAAGAGATCGTGTATCTTAGGAGAATGTACGCCCCCAGTATCTCCTGTCTTCTTCCACCTACTGCGGCACTTCTTTGCTTCTGTTTACAGCCAAGCTTTGAGTTGTTTATACTTGCTGTCCTCAGTTCCTTTTGTTTTCCAGAATCCAGTCTTATCAAACATTTGCCCTCATCACCTCCCCATAACGTGCTGATATCACCAGGCTACCATTTATGCTCCTATTCTATTCCCACTTTCTGCTTCTATTCAAGGGAGTCATAAGTCATCTGAAGGCTACAATTAAGCTGGAAAAGCAAAGATCAAATGAGGATTTCACAGTTACAGCGAAAGAAGTTCTTTACCTCTTTATTCATTGACTATATGTGTTTGCTATAAGCAACTCACTATTTATATTACACAGTTGTGTAAGACATATTTTCTATTTTCAAGCAACCTGTATTTAAGTAAGGTAAGCAGCACTCACCTATGATGCAAAATAATGCCCAGAAAACTAGTAATGCAGAAAAGTTTGCAAAGAAGACAAAATGAAGTTAGCGTGGTATTTGTTCTTTGTGTTTAAAGGTATTATGCAGGGATTTCAGTCAGTGGATTCATTGGAGGGGAAGAAGGCATCCCACGCAGGTGGACCAGTATAAGCCTGAAAAGGGAAGTAGTAAACCACTGGTTGGTATAGGAATAGATAATTCTTCATTGATGAGAGCCTGTGGTATGAAGAAAGAAAGGAAAATGAAATTTATTACTTCCTGCTGGGTTAGTAAGTCTGTATTCCACTTGGCAGTGGAATGCAGGATTTATTTGAGAGGGAAGTTCCAAAGGTGTTTAGTATATATTCATGTCGAGCTTGTGCTAGCTCCAGGAAGCAGGTTTTCTGGCTTTTATGCATTAGGTTAGTGATGTGGTATAAAACACCTTAATTGGAGTGATATCTCTGGGAGTTCACTGGAAATACTAGTGAGTTCCTGCTCAATTTAGTAATTACTCTGAAAGTAGTAATGACATATACCACTCCTTATTTAACTCTCTTTCTTTTACCACTTAGCTAATTTCCAGGCCTCGTCAAAACAGTTAAAGTTTGACCTTTAGAAGCCTTCACTAATTCACTTAAGTGTCTGTCTATTCTTTATGCAACCAGAGTGCTTTCTACTCTGAAAATACTTGTTTATCTGTTTCTCTCTTCTGTGTACATCTTTCACCTACAGCATGTGTGCTCTGTAAATGTTTGCTGGATGACTAAATGAACTTACCGAATTAGGAAGTTTACATATCCCATGCTAAAGTAAATCTTTTATGTTCTAATGTGAAGGTGGGAAAGAAAGTGGAATGATGGAAGGTATTATAATTTTAAATTAAGAAGAGAAAAATTGCAAAGGTAAAAACAGATGTAGATTTGTCTACATAAAATTTGAAAAACATTCCAAAAGGGAAAAAGAGACAAAATCAATTTCGGAAAGAACTAAGGCAAATATGGCAGATAAGTGCCTAACATCATTACTGTAAAATAATTCATGGAAACTGAGAGAATCCATCTTATAGGAAAATGGTAAAAGAAATGAATTAACATCTCCAAGGATGAGATGTATCTGAAAAAGAGTTCAAATTCCCTGTTACCTTTCAGACTTTTTTTTTTTTAATTTTTCGTCACCACCTGAGGTTATATCTCCCTCCAGCACCACTGCACTAGTCTCCCAGCTACCTCAGTGTGACTCTCCTCTCCCTCTAGCCTCCTGTCCACAGTACAGCTGTGCAGCGTAGCTCAGAACATAAATCTAATCATGTGACTGCTTTGCTTAAAACCTATTTAGTGGCTCTTCATTGCTTTTTGGTAAGGACCTAAATAAGGCCTATCTCCCCATCTTCTATTCTACCACTCCCCACCCGTACACCCTACCTCTGTCTCTGTGCTTCAGCTACACTGGTCTTCCTCTATCTAAGCACAACATTGCAGATCCTTTGCATGTGCTATTCCCTTTATCAGTTTCTCTCATTAGGACATTTTATATATCTCCTTGTCACTTTCCCAGAGAAAACATTCTTGACTTTCATTTACCCCTTTTATAAGCTCTTGTAGAACCATTTACTTATTTTTAGCGCTTGTAATAGTTGCTTAGTGTGTATATGAGAATGTGTGAGAGAGAGATTTCTTATTCCCTCCACCTGACTGAAGTTTTTGTTTACTGTCATATCCTTAGTACCTATCTGTTGAATGAGTAGTTTGAGGCATTATTTTTATAATAAATTAGTCCCTCCTTAACTGAGATCCAAGAATGTATTTCAGGGATCCTAAAACTGCCTGGATTTATATGTAACATGGTGTTCGTATGTATTTCTATGGAGAAAGGAGTCCTTAGGTGTTCATCAGATTCCCAAACATCTATGTATCTGTGGTATTATCTTTGGGATGTCAGTACTCATATCTGTGATTTGTTTGATTTGATTACTTGTGTTGTAATTTTCTATTACAGTTTTTCTTTTTAAAATTCCAGTATATTTAATTATCCAAAAAGTCATTTGTGAAAATAAAAGCCAGCCTCCAGAGGCACCTGTTCTGCTAACTTTTAAAAGTCTTCTACCCTTAATAATTCCATTCTTTAAAAAAATTTCCAAGGATAAACTTAGGCTTAGTTTTGGAATACTTCCTCACTCTGGGTCCTTAAAATATATTTATTCTTCTGAAGTAATGTAAAGTTTTACATATTTAAAATATATAAATTATCACTTTTTACTTCATCTCATGATTATTTAATGCATGCTTTATATAATAAGTACCAGTATGTTATGTGTACTTAAAAGGGAGAATATTTAACTGACTTATTAGAGCAACTTCCCTAACCTCTAGCATAGCACTTTGTCTCCAGGTAGTAACAAATAAATACTTATTGGACAGAGGAAAGTATGGATAGATCAACTTGAATCTAACATTCAAATGAAGGGGAAGGATCTCCTAAATGTAGCCTTTTTTCCTCCCTTTTCATCAGAACTACAGAAAGGATGCAAAACTGAAAACAAGTTATGTTGTTTTTCCAATGAGTAATGAATTAGCAAAACCAGAGCTGATTTTGTTCCAGTCATCTATTTCTTTAGGTAGCAATGATGTATAAAATCAGAATTAGGAGGTGAAACAATCTGATTTGGTACTTTAATGCCATAAGAAGGCCAAGGGCTTTATATAAAAATGAGATTATGTTTTTCTTGATAGCAGATTACCAACAAGCTAATTAGAAAGGGGGAAAAATTGGGACAACTGTAATAGCATAATCAATAAAAGATTTTTTTTTAAAATTGCTTTTCATTTCCTGTAATATAGTAAATGTAGAAGCTAATGTTATAGAGAACAAAATGATTTGCCTCCACATACTGTAAAAGATAAGAATGCCAAAAACAGTATTTATGCTTTTGAAGTTGCAGAGCTCCTATTTCATACTTGAGTATGTAATTCTTTTTAATAATTTTTATTGAAGTAGTAAATCAGGGTCCGTCCATAGCAAGAGAACTACTTTTGTTGTTGTTGTTGTTGTTGTTAAACTATTCTGTGAAGTTTTGCTAGGTGGCAGCATATTCTCAGTAATGATTAAGTTGTAGATAATTACCAAGCACTGTAGAATTTTTAAATTTTTGTTCATTGGAAATAAAAAAGTATATTTAAACAATAATGACCAAATAAGTCCTCTGTGTAAAAACCATAATTAATTTTAACTATGAAATAGTTCAAATATATGGAAAAGGATCTAACAAATGTCCTTGTAATCTATTTCCTGTATTTGGCAAATGTCATTATTTTGCCATATTAAACTGCTTAATTCCACCAACTGTATTTTCAACCTCAGAAGTAATTATTACTCTTTTTGTGTGTTATTTTCTCATCCATAGTTTTCATAATTTTAGTAACATATATACCCAGTGTTGTATATTTTTAAACTTTGCATGTTATATCCTATGCATGATCACTTTAACAGCAACTTTTGTCACCAAACATTTTTAAGATTTATCCATGATGATATATGCAGCTCTGTCACATTGATTTAAAATACTGTGTGTAGACTTTATATAGTATTTTATCTCCTATGCAGCATTTTGTAAGGACACCACAATGAATGGTCACGGGGTGTGTCTTCTACCTAGATTCCTCGAGGCAGGATTTTGTTAGGTATTGCTGAAGTTACCTCTGGAAGGAGCAGGCCAGCTTGCATTCCTAGCAGTGATGAGAGTGCCTGTTTCCTCACAGCGTCACCAACAGAATGTGTTGTCACAGGTTTTTGTTTTTGCCAGTCTGATAGATGAGGAATGAATAACCAGAAGTTTTAATGTATTATAAGAAACACAGATACACTCAGATTTTTCTTAGCACTATAAGCTCCCCTGCAACAATACAAGCTTTTGAAGTAGTTGTTTTCTGCTAACTGAATTTTTGTTACTGGATAATTCAAATGAATGGTAAAGTCAGTGCATTATCAAAAGAAGCTGGCTAATTGACTAGCTAGCAGGTAGTCAACTAAGAGTCAATTCAGCCACCCCCCAGACCCCATCCAAATTGCCAGTTATGGAAATAATCACAGGGAT